AAATTTTGAATCCTTCAATTACGCTGCGAGCTTCTCCTTGAAGCACTCCGATGAGATATTGATGCTTCTGTACAGCAGTTAAGCTGTCATCTTGATGAATAGTTGTCTCGAAACTGTCCTTGAAAAATAACCATTTAGTGTATTCTCCATTGAATTCCGGAAGCTTTATCTGTGGTAGCTTTGGTCGTCTGCGTATAATTTCGGATATTTCTTCCGAATTTTCCTGTTTTGCGTGTGCCGCTGTTTGCTATAATCCCTGTCGAATTATTTACTGTGCCTTTGCCGCAGCTTTGTAATATAAGTTCTCAAAGATCACCTTTTCTGGATCGCCTTCTTCGCTCGGTTCTCCCTTCTCCTCGGTGGGAATTGCTCTATCATCTATTGTACTTTGTATTTCCTTAAAGCTGTGGTAAAACTCTTCTAGTTTTTGCAGTCTGACCTGCGCTTCATCAATCGTGACATTTCCTGCCTCGAAAAAATGCAATATGCGAGTAACTTGGCCTTTGGTTTGCGTTCTGCGCTGCTTTAATTTACGCATATCTATTTCCATGTTGTATAATATGCTCTAACTAAATGATCTGCTGACCTGAGTATGTTGCGAAGATTTCCTGCCGATTTCCTCCGTTGAGGTTAGAAAGATCTTCCGCCGATGCCTAGGGTTGCCAACCGTCCGGTTTTGACCCGGACTATCAGGTTTTCAGGAGTCTTGTCCGGTGTCCGGTTGACAAGTCAAACCGGACATCATATGTCCGGTTTATAAGTGCATCCAAATAATAAGAGGCCTGTTATTTTTGGCTGAACTTTTGCACCTGTTCATCTTTCTTCCTTTTCTCCCCAGGAGGAAAGAAGAAGAAGAAAGGTGAACTGGTGCAAAAGTTTAGCCAAAAAGAACAGGCCTAAAATCAAATTTAGAGCGCCATAAGAAGTTACGTAACAGACCGCTCAATTTTCGTGGCGCTCCGCTAGGACTACGTTCAAAAAGTGCACTCAAGTGCACCTAGGTATCAGCTTGCTTTTGATATACATACGTGTAAAGGTTAGATTAGGATATCAACTTATTAGCATTGTTTGAAATTTCTCAAAATTTTTAAATGAGGTAAATATATACATATTCGGATATTGTAGAGAGAGAACAAAGGTGTTAGCTCTGAAGAAAATGATTTAAATCATAATCACACTAGCGATTAAGATTGAGATTGGATTGGAATGGAATTTAACCAATCAGAAGAAAAAGAAACTAATTAATCAAGTTTAGTATAAATTTTGCTTTAATTGGTCAAATCCCGATCAATCTCAATCTCTAATGTGATTACGGCACTTTTGCTTTCTGGTTCATAAAAGTCATATGTTCTTTCATGTAAGTAATTATTAAATAATTTGTTACAGGAACAATTATTAAACAATTTGTTTAAACTTATTAAAAATGAATCAGCTAACTCCAAAAAAAAAAAATTAAAACGTTTCTGCTCTTTTAATGATAATTGGCTGAAGGATGAAAATTTCAAATCATGGCTTACAAAATATAACGAAGAATATGCAAAATGCATAATATCCCAGCAAACA